CATTTTTATAATACTGGTTTGGTGGTGATGAACTCCTTTAGCTTTTTCTTATCTGGGAAGCTCTTTTTTTTATTTTTATTTTTTATTAAAATTTATTGGGGTGACAATGATTAGTAAAATTACCTAGGTTTCAAGTATACACTTCTATAATACATCATGTATGTGTTAGATTGTGTGTTCACCACCCAGAGTCAGTTCTCCTTCCATCACCATGTATTTGACCCGTTTACCCTCCTGTACCACCTTTCTCCCTCCTTACCCTCTGTGGGAAGCTCTTTATCTGTCTCTCAATTCTAAATGATAGCTTTGCTGCATAAAGTAATCTTGGTTGTAGGTCCTTGCATTTCATCACTATGAATATTTTTTGCCAATCCTTTCTGGCCTGCGAAGTTTCAATTGAGAAATCAGCTGACATTCTTTTTATTTTTAAAGATCTTTATTGGAGAATTGGGGGGATGGGAACAGCGCTGGGGAATTGGGGGAAGGGGAACAGACAAGTTGCTGTCCTTTTGTTCTTCAGTCTAGTTGTGGAGGACGTTGCTTCACTGGCCCAAGTTGGCACCATCATTGCGCTCTTCCCGGGTGAGGCAGATCAGTTGCCGGCTTCTGGACGGCTGCTCACAGCGGCTGCTGGCTACACACGGTAGCCCATGGCAACCCACTGCAGCAGGGGCTGCAGCCTATGCTGTCGCCGGCAACTCACAGCAGCCCAGCTCCAGGTTGAACTGTTGTTCAGCATCTTAGCTATAGAGGGCAGTGTCACTGGCCCTCATATGTGGGATCCGAACCGGGGCCCTCTGGCGTCCCAAGCCAGCTCTTAACCAACGTGCCACTCGGCCGGCCCTCAGCTGACATTCTTATGGGAGCGCCCTTGTAGGCAACTAACTGCTTTTCTCTTGCTGCTTTCAAAATGGTTTCTTTTATCTTTAACCTTTGGCATTTTAATTATGATGTGTCTTGGTGTCAGCCTCTTTGGGTTCATCTTGTTTGGGACTCTCTCTGCTTCCTGGGCCTGTATGTCTATTTCCTTTGCCAGAATGAGGAAGTTGGTTGTCATTGTTTCTTCAAATAGGTTTTCAATTCCTTGCTCGTTTTCCTCTCCTTCTGGTACCTCTTTGATGCTAATGTTGTTGTGCTTGATGTTGTCCCGGAGGCCCCTGAATCTCTCCACATTTTTTTGGATTCTTTTTTTGTTTTGTTGTTTTGATTGGCTGTTTTCTGCTACTTTATCTTCTAAATTGCTGATTCGATCCTCTGCTCATCTAATCTGTTGATTCTCTTTATTGTATTCTTTATTGCTGACTGGGATTTTTTTTATGTTTTCTATCTCCATTTTTATATTTCTTATCTCTCTGTTGAAATTCTCCCTGAGACCATTGAGCATCCTTATAACCAGTGTTTTGAACTCTGCATCTGGTAGACTGCATGTCTCCATTTTATTTAGTTGTTTTTCTGGAGCTTTGTTCTGTTCTTTTATTTGGGACATGATTCTTTGTCTCCCCTTTATGGCTGACTCCTGTGTTTGTTTCTATGTATTAGGTAGAGCTGCTATTTCTCCCAGCCTTACTAGAGTGGCCTTATGTAGTAGGGTCCTGTGCAGCTTAGTGGCAGTCTCCTTGGTGACCTGAGCCAGGTTCTCCAGGTATATCCCTTGTGGGGATTGTGTGTGCCCTCTTGTTGTAGTTGAGCCTTGGTTGCTGTTTGCATGTCAGTGGGAGGGGTTGACCTTCGGGCTGATTGATTGTGAGGACCGACCTGAGTACTGGAGTAGTGGTTATACAAGGGCTGACCCTACAGATTAGCTTTAGCGTGCTCTGGTGTCTTGTCGAGACTGCCCTTTGGGTGTTGCCCTTGGAGGCATCTGGGTGGTGTCCTGGCTCAGTCTGAAGCTGGCCACTGGGTGTGGCAGCCCCCAGGAAGTCCTCGGAGGGGCTCTGCCACAGGCCCACTTCAGCCTCAGCCTGTGTTTTGCCTGGGGCCACCTGACATGAGCCACAAAGCAATCCGCAGATGGCTGCTACTGCGCTGGGTCTTGGAGGTGCCTCAAGCGGTCAAGCCACAAACCTGAGGTTGGCTGATTTGAGGTTGCTTGTCAAGAGTATGGGGCACGCCAGAGCCAGATGCTGTTTGTTTAGGTTTTGTGAAACTTGAGAGATTTTAGGAAAGTCCACAGCATGATCCAAGACAGGCCCTTTTTATGCAAAAGCCACTGGAAACAGTTTGGATGGGCCTGAAAGATGGGTGGGGCAGGATCTGGGACTCACCAGGGTGGGGCAGACATAGGGTGTTAGCCAGATTGATGGAGACTCAGATATGGTAGCCATCTGTGTCTGTGCTTGGGAGGGGAGAGGGCTCAACTAAGAAACAATGAATTCTTCCAGCACTTCTGAGAGAAAGCTGCTACTCCAGCCATTGCCCTGCAGCCAGATAATTTAGTTCCTTCCTATATGTTTCTGGCTCCTTTCGAGCTTCTACCCCAGCACTGGAGCTCAGAGTGAGTGAGTCCGTCAGCAAGTAAGACCATGTGCAGGCCCTTTAAGAGGAATGCCTGGGATTCCAGCTGCCCTCCATCTCACTCAACCATAATCTCCACTGGTATTCACAGTCCGAAGTTATGGGGACATCTATGCCCAGCACTGAAACCTTGGGCTAGGGAGTGGCTGGGACCCCTCACTTCTCCAGGGGGAGCTCCACAGCCAATATATCCCTCCTGATTTTCAGTGGTCAAAGGCAGGTGTGGAAACCAGCCTGTTCTGCTTCTCTGCTCCTCCTACCAGTCTCAAAATGGCTTCTTCAGCATGTCCTTAGAGGTAGGACTTCAGTTCAGCTAGAGTTCAGGCAGTTCTCAATGATAATTGTTCTGTAGTTTAGTTATAATTGTGATGTGGTCATGCGAGGAGGCAAGTACAGCGTTTACATACTCCACCATCTTGACTAGGAAATCTTGTGGTAAATTACCTTGTAAGTTAAGTGATTAAAGTTGTTGGGAACATTTTGCCTATGTAAATCCTATTTCTATGCATGTACTTATTTATAGATCTCTACTTATAGGTCTGTAGTACTATATTGCAAAGTTAGGGAAAGCTTTACTTTATTCACAAAATTCCTAGTATGTAAAAAGTGATTTGCTGACCCATACTTCACCATGAAGCACTTGCTGTCCTTTTGATTGTCTTTTATTTACTTGGTTTTTCTTAGTCTTAAATTCAGTCTTTAGAAAAGGTTTTCTGAAGTTTATGTTTTGTCGTGTATTTGTACTGTTAGATATTGGAAGGAGCATAGATGATTCAGGGTCTTGAACTTTGAAGATGGCGTATTTGAAGATTCTTTTGTTTATGTATTTTCCTTTTAAAAATTAACTTTAGATTTAGCCTAGAGCCTGAAACTTTTTTTTCCATACCAAGGAAACAATGTTGTAATAAATAGTGCTGTAATTAAACAATGGTTGTTAAGTGGTTTGCATATTGGTTTTATTTATTATTTGACCCATTGGAACTATCTGGTAGAATTCGAATCAGGCCAAATATTGGGTTGTCGGAAAAGTCATGATGCATTTTTGCAACAAAAAACATAGAAAAATACATCATGACTTTTCCGACAACCCAATATTTTTAAATGTAGTCACTTTGATGAGAATAGGTTAATCTGATTGCCTTCCACACATACCCTTAGGGAAGAAAGGAGTTGTTGGCAAAGAATGGCTTTAGGAGAAAATCTTTATGCTATATCAAAAATGGAAACACAATGTGTTAATTTTTTGGTTAATATAAGGGAAAATTTTAAGACTATGAGCGTCTCAGAAAAAAACCCCAAAAAACAACCAAACACCAACTCTCCATCCCTGCCCTCCCTCCTTTCTCTGAGTGGTGGTCTGAGTTTTATAGGCATATGAGTACCCTGAAAAATGTTAGGAACCTGGTTAAGTTGTAGGTTACTAGTGCATTGGAGGAGCCTTTTAAAGGCTCCTAAATTCAGACAAAGTGTTACTAATTACTTTCAGGTTCAGTCTATCTCTAGTTGGACCATGAACGATTTAGCATGGTCCTATGGCAGCCTGTCTGCTGAGTGGTGACTCCTGACTTTAAGAAAGACCACTATCTGATATGCTAGACCATTTCAGCTTGCCCCAGTTTACATGAATTTAGTCATTATTGCCAAGACTACTGAACCTCAGTGTGACACACATGATACTTCTAAATGCACTTGAAGACAAAGGTACTTTGACCTTGCAACAGGACATAGGTAATGTTCATACAGCTTAAACTTGTTCATTTTAAAATATGAAACAGAATACTCTGCCATTTGAAGTTTCAGTTAAAAGACACAGTTGAAGAAATTATTTTTAAGCTCTCTAAGTAAAGAGCGTACCGATCTTTAAGTAAATTAAAATTGTTAATGGTTTCCAACCTTTAGATTTATAAACATTGCCTCTTAATGCAGGAGGGTACTAATGGCCGTGGTAATGTAGTTGAAACCTGTCCTACGAACTTAGACCAAGCAGTGCAGTTCATTCTTGACCCTCACAATTCTTAACATTCTAGGTAGAAGTTTGACTGATATTAAATCTGCTTATTGAGATTTTGTGATAAAAAGTAAAAATAAGGATACTAGCTGGGTGTTCAAATATATTTTTGCATGAGTAGGAATCTAAATGTTGTAGAATTGTACACTTTAGTGCTGTTTCTAGCTGTTCCTGTTTTTTTAATTTGAGATGTGATTTTTTTTTAAAGCCTGAGCTAATACAGTATTTTACATATGAGTAATTTTTTCCACAGAACTACTATTACCTTTGTAAAGTTGAAAATACCCAAAATGGGAAATTTGTTTGGACACAGGTTGGGAAAATGGTAAACTGATAAGTTTCTAAAATACTGTACTACTTTTCACTGACTTTACATTGAAAATAGTTTTTACACATTATAAATTTTTAGTATTCTACATTTGTTATTCTGACAAATAATTGTTCTTTCAGTCTGAAATAAGTTTTTTTCCTTAAACAGATTTGTGGAAATATGCATCAGTTTAATACTGTCTTGGAATTCATGAGATGGAAGCATAGATCAAAGCTGTTTGGAGAAACTTGGAAGTCCACTTTTATCTAGCCACATCTCTGAGGTAAGGGAAAGACTTTTTTTTTTTTTTATTTTTATTTTTTAGGGAAATTGGGGGGAAAAGTGCCGTGTCACTGGCCCTCATATGTGGGATCCGAACCGGGGCCCTCTGGCATCCCAAGCGAGTTCTTAACCATCGCGCCACTCGGCCGGCCCAGGGAAAGACTTTTAAGAAAATAATTAGGATACTGTGGAAATTCTCATTTCTTAACAATTGAAAATAGTTCTTCTAAATCATTGTTAAAACTTTAACTTTAGTTTCTTTAATCACCTTCCTTATGAATCATAAGTAGTTCTAATATATTCATCTTTCCTAATAATGTTGAACCTCTTCAGGAGTAACAAGTGTTTGTTTATTAACTAATAACAATTTCTGTACTCTAATTATAGAAAATGAGCATTAAATGATGTATATATTTATTTCTTCCTTCTGAAGATGACTAAGCAGCATTCAGAATGGAAGATTATATTAAAATGAATGTTTATATTATTCTGAAACATTCACACTTTTTAGAATTTAGAATAAAATTATCTTAGAATAATAGGTCTTTGGAGACAGAGAATTTATTTAAAGAAGTAGGAACTGCAGTAAGACCAAGGATAGGGGCGAGAAAGCCATGCTAAGACAATATGTACAGAGGAATCACATTCATTATTTTCATATCCATGTACAGACTCAAATTATCGGGTAAAAGGTTTGAATTCTTCAGGGATCTACAGTTTAAAAAAGAAGTGGTCTATACTTTTTCCTACAGAATAGTCGGCTTTGCTCACTGCTTCTGTTTCCTTACAGCATCTCTTTTCTTCCCCTGCCAAACTGCTGTATTTTCTCTTTTGAAAACCACTCATGACTTTCTAATTGTCTTTTATTAGGCTTCATACTCTTTGATCACTGCAGTAGTTGCCATTTTTCCTTTTTTGATATTCTCTTGGTTTCTGTCACCCTGTGCTCTTCTAATTCTACTTTTTAAATTACTCCTCCATGATTTCTTTGCTTTCTCCTCCTTCCCTTTTTTCCTTTGGCTTTTCCAATCTCATGATTTCAACAGCTACCTCTGAAATGATCTTTCTCAACCTTACATCTCATTTCTGACACTTTCTCTAAGCTTCAGACCATATTTTCAGCTGCTTGCTTCATACCCAATATTCCCACTTCTGTTACTGCCTCTTTGTCACCCAAACTTAAAGTCTGTGTTGAACCTGATTTCTCGTCTTTTCTTTCCTACCCTTAGTCAGAGATCAGGTCCTATCAGTTTTACCTCTCTAATGTATCATGAATGTTTTCATCATCTCTTTTCTAATCCCCCTATCACCATCCAAGTTCAGGTCCTTTATATTACATTTCACCTGAAATATTGCAAGACACTCCTGTCTTTGTTCCTGTCTGAACTCCATTTCCCTCTACGTGTTGCTGCCAGCTTAAATTTTCTAAAAGATAATTCTGCATGTGTTGTTAGTGCCTCTTTGTCAACCTGCCAAAGTAAGGACAAACGCCTCTAATATTAAAGCCTCTAAACAGAATAGCATTAAGTGAGTGACACTTTTGCCGGCATCCATCCATTTCTTTCACCCTTTAAATACTTACTTACTAAACACCTACTCTGTGCCAGGCACCATGTTAGGCATTGAGAATACAAAAACGTTTCTTGCTTTGCTTCCAAAGAATATGTTTAGAGATGAATATACACAGTTAATTCAAGTGCAGTTTGGAAAGTGCTATACGAGATTGAAAAAATGTATTGGCATCACCTAGAATAGTTCCACCAACATTGTTAGAGAAGAGAATTATCATGGAGGCTTCACATAGAAACTGACATTTGAGTAGAGTCTTAAAGGATGAGTAGAAGGTTGTTAAGGGGAATTGGGGAGGCAAGAGAATTTTGTGCACAGAGCCCAGCATAAGCAGGGGAAGCTTGAAATGTATAGAATGTACAAAAGCCAAAAGAAATCATTTTGTATGGTTTGAATTCATGACATAAGAAAGGGTTTGAGGGACAAGGTTGGAAGAGATCTTGATTGTGAAGGGCACCGGATGACATGGTTAGGTGTTTAGATTTTATTTTGTGAGTGGTTGCTGTCTTTGAAAAATTTTAACAGGTATTTTAGATTACAATTTTATTCTGTTAAAATTAATCTGGCAGTGATATAATGACAGTTGGTAAGGGGGAGATACCAAAGGCAGAGAGACAATTAGGATGCTCTTAATTGTTTCAAGCAAAAAATAATGAGGCTCTTGATTAAGATAGGGATCAAAGTACCTAAAATTATAAAAACCTTTAAGCATAGGTTATTTTTTTATATTTATTTATTTGACATTGAATATTTTATATTAATTTCAGGTATACAGCATAGTGGTTAGACATTTATATAATTCAATAAGTGATCCTCCTGACTAATCTAGTACCCACCTGGCACTATACATAGTTATTACAATATTATTGACTATATTTTCTATGCTTTATATCCCATGACTATTTTGTAACTATCAATTTGTACTTCTCAATGCCTTCCCCTTTTTCCCCATATCCCGCCTACCCCCTCCCATCTATCACCCTGAAAAATCAAGTACCCACCTGACACCGTACATAGTTATTATAATATTATTGACTATATTCCTTATGCAATTCCCTGCATGCCCATTCAATTTGTATTTCTTAATCCCTTCCCCTTTTTCACCCACCCGCCGAACTCCCCTCCCGTCTGGCAACCATCAGAATATTCTCTCTGTCAATGAGTTTATTTCTGTTTTATTTGTTTCTTTATTTTGTTCATTAGATTCCACATATAAAAGAAATCACACTGCATCTGTCTTTATCTTACATAGTCCACTCAGCACAACACCCTCCATGTCCATCCATGCTGCCACAGATGGCAAGTACCCATTCTCTTCCATGGCTGAGCAATATTCCATTGTATATATGTACCACCTCCTCTTTATCTATTCTTCTATCAACGGACACCCAGGCTGCCTCCACATCTTGGCTATTGTAAACAATGCTGCAGTGAACATATGGATGCACATATCCCCTTGAAGTAGCATGTTGGGTTTTTTCAGATAAATACCCAGAGGTGGGATCACTGGGTTCTTCTTTGTCTCTTGTTATAGCCTTTGTTTTAAAGTCTATTTTGTCTGGTATAAGTATTACTACCTCAGGTGTTTTTTTGTTTTGTTTTTTTTTTTGGTTTTGTTACCATTTTCATGAAATATCTTTTTCCCATTTCTTCGCTTTCAGTGTTTGTGCCTTTCGATTTGAAATGAGTCTCTTGTAGGCAGCATATGTAAGGGTCTTGTTTCCTTATCCATTCAGCCACCCTATGTTTTGATTGGAGCATTTAATCCATTTACATTTAAAGTAATTGTTGATACATAGTTATTGCCATTTTGTTATTTATATTTTTTATCTCCTTTGTTTTCTTCTTCTTAAAGAAGTCCCTCTAACATTTGTTGTAATCCTGATTTGGTGGTGATGAACTCCTTTAGGTTTTTCTTGTCTGGCAAGCTCTTTATCTGTTTTTTGATTCTAAATGATAGCTTTGCTGGGTAGAGTAACTGGTTGTAGGTCTTTTTCATCACCTTGAATATTTCATGCCAGTCCCTTCTGGTCTGCAAAGTTTCTGTTGAGAAATCAGCTGATTGTCTTATGGGAGCTCCCTTGTGTATAACTAACTCCTTTTCTCTTGCTTTTAAAATTCTCTCTTTGTCTTTAACTTTCGGCAGTCTAATTCTGATGTGTCTTGGTGTGGGCCTCTTTGGGTTCATCTTGTTTGCGACTCAGCACTTCCTGGTCTTTGTATATCCATACCTGTTTATTTCACGAGGCCAGGGAAATTTTTTGTCATTATTTCTCCAAATAGATTTTTAATTCCACTTTATGTTTTCCCAAAGGCCCCTTAAACTATCCTCATTTCTTTGGATTCTTTTTTCTTTTTGCTGTTCTGATCGGGTGTTTTCTGCTACCTTATCTTCTAAATCACTGATTCGATCATCTGCTTCATCTAATCTACTGTTGATTGTCTTTAATATATTCTTCATTTCAGTTATTGTATTCTTTATTTCTGACTGGTTTTTTTGTTTTCTCTCTTCATTTTTATGTTTCTTCTCTCTCTGTTGAAATTCTCCCTGAGATCATTGATCATCCTTTTTACCAGTATTTTGAACTCTGCATCTGGTAGACTGCTTATCTCCATTTTGTTTAGTTCTTTTCCTGGAGCTTTGTTCTGTTCTTTTATTTGGCACATATTTTTTTGTCTCCCTATTTTGGCTACCTGCCTGTGTTTGTTTCTATGTATTAAGTAGGGCTGCTATGCCTCTTGGTCTGAGTAAAGTGGCCTTATGTAGTAGGTGTCCTGTGGGACCGAGTGGTGCGGTCTCCCTGGTCACCAGACCTGGGTGTTCCAGGTGTGTCCCTTGTGTGGGTTGTGTGTGCCCTCCTGTTGTAGTTGAGCCTTGGTTGATGTTTGCAGGTCATTGGGAGGGATTGACTCTCAGGCTGATTGGTTGTGAGGACTGGCTGTGACTACAGCGGGGTCAGTGTGGTGCAGGGGCTGATCCTACAGAGCGAGGTTTGCTTTAACAGGTTCCTTGTGCCTGCCCAGTGTGCCCTTTGGGTGTGTCATCCCCAGAAGCAGCTGGGTCATGCTCCAGATTGGTCCGAAACTAGTGACAGGGCTGCGCAGCCTTGGGGCCTCCTGGAAGGGGCTCCACCACAGGCTAAGTTTAGCCACTGCTGGTGCCCTGTCCAGGGCCACCTGGCATGAGCCACAAAGCAATCTACAGATGGCCACCATCCATGCTGGGCTTAAAGGTGCCTCATGAGGCCAAGCCATGAACCGAGACCAGCTGTTGCGAGTGCTGGCCTAGGACTGCTCAGCCAGAGGTATGGGAGTCGCTGAAGCTAGATGCTGTTTGTTTAGGTATTGTGAACCTTTGAAAAATTTTAGGAAAGTCCACAGCATGAGCCAGGGCATGTTTATATGGAAAAACCACTGGAAGCAGCGTTGGTG